AAGTCGTATGAGTTCAGACAAAGAGAAACTTTTGCAGGATATTTGGAGCGCTAATCAATACAGTAATTAAAATAACAAATAAATACAAAGATGATAATTTTTCAGAGCATGTGACAGTGAAAGACTGTTTAGAGAACATTTTTCCAGAATCTATCTTACATATCTATAAGTCTACCATTCGTCCATGTTTAGAATATTGTTGGTACATATGGTCAGGTACTAATATATATTTAGAGATTCTTGATAAATCCAAAGAAGAATCATTAATATTATTGGTCCTGATCTGGCATCTCGACTTCAGTCACTTTCCTACCGCCGTAAATTTACTTCCTTGTGCCTTTTCTATAAATAATTTAATGGTAATTGTTCGGGTGACCTCTTCATTATGATACCTAGACTTTATGAATTTAAGTGCAGTACTAGATTGGCGGCTAGGTCTCATCAAGTTAGAGCAGAATTGGCGAATTGTAAGCGTAAATTCTATGCTAACAGTTTCTTTTCTCGCATTTCTCACTTGTGGAACTCCTTTCCGGCTCCATTCTTTCAAGTCAACTTTAATCTGCAAAACTTTAAATGCAATGTCAATCGCTATCCACTGTTTTCCTGATTGCGCTTCTGATAGATAGATAGATAGATAGATAGATAGATAGATAGATAGATAGATATGAACAGACTGTGATAAATAGAGAGAGATAAACAGGATGAGATAGATTGATAGAGATGAACATATGAGATAGATAGATAGATAGATAGATAGATAGATAGATAGATATAAACAGGCTAATCCTTAAGAATGTTTCTATTTCTAATTCTTCCACGTCCAGTAATTCCTTGTGCCTTAGGGGATTTAGTGCCTGGCTTGGGGTGAAATCGATATGTAAAGATTCGACAGCGGCACTTTCGAAAATTTTCCTTCGCGGTTCATACTTTCTCCTTTCATTCTTTAAAGTTGAGGTTGAATTTGATCTTCAAAAATTTAAATACAACGTCAATCGCTATCTACTGTCTACTGATTCTATTATTCTCGCTCTTTAGTAATGTTTTCTAAATCTCCCACATCCAGTAATTCCTTGTGTCTCAGTGGCTTTACTGCCTTGCTTGGGGTGAATTCAATTAAACAAAAAAAAAAAAAACAAGGGTTTGCTCCTATAACATAAATTCCAGGAGACCCATTATTTACCACAACGATTTTTTTCTCGATAAAATGAAATCAGCCGTCCGTAATTGTGTAGATTTGAAATCTTATTACCTCCCCCCTCTCCCCCCTCTACTATGTCGCGCTTTATTGTGTAGACACACCGCAGTGTTTTTAGCGATACAGGGGGTCGACATTAGAAAAAGGGACATTTTAAACCTGGATGGGTGTAAATGAATGAAGGACAATACTGGGGTGGGTTCGGGGTGGATTTAAGGGGTTTCGGGATAAAGGATAGAAATTTCCCGTATTTTTTTTTTCCCCCTTGGAATTTTTTTTTTTTTTTTTTATTGTTGTTGTCAAAAGTCTGGTTAAAAAAATTGTCTTCATTTCCTGTCGAACGATGCGTCCAACTGATGAAGAAGAAGACTTCCGATTCGAAGTGAGGCGGAAAAAATAGACGTCAACAAAAGAATGAAAGGACATCGACTGTCCTTTTGGGCTTGGCCACAGCAATTTAGATCTGGATTATCTAAATTTGGGATTGTCTAGATTTTGGATTAAATAAATTTTGGATTATCTAGATCTAGGTTATCTAGATATGGATTGTCTGGATTTTGATTATCTAGATTTTGGATTATCTACATTTTGGATTATCTGCATTTGGATTATCTGGATTTGGATTATCTACATTTGGATGATTTAGATTTTGGATTATCTAAGTTCTGGATTATCTACATTTTGGATTATCCTGATTTGGGATTATCTAAATCTAGATTAGCTACATTTCGGATTGTCTAAATTTGTATTATCTACATTCGGATTATCTAAATTTTTGATTATCTAGATTTTGAATTTTCTAAATTCCGGATTATCTAGATTTGGATTATCAAGATCTATATTTTAGATTTTGGATAATCTAGTTCTGGATTATCTAGATTTGGATTATCCAGATTTTGGATTATCTAGATTTTGGATTATGTAGATTTGGATTATCCACATTTTGGATTATCTAGTTTTTGGATTGTGATTATGCTGAAAGGTATTCGAAATGGTTCACGTACATTCACACAAACACACACACGCTCTCTCTCTCTCTCTCACACACACACACACTCTCTCTCTTTCTCTCTTGATAATAATCAATCAACTGATCCTTATTTGAGCCATATTAAATATGGAATGTTGGCGCGGCCTAGTGGTCAGAATGTTTGCTCTCCATGATACGAGAGTTCGAATCTCATCATCGTCAATCAGAAAAGTGACTTTTTCATGTTATTGGAATACGACACACTTGGAAAGTGCCTGAACATAATGCCACAAAATCTTTGTCAGTGAAACTGGGTCGACGAATTTGTTGGTCAA